TAAACTACGTGCTTTACTGGCGTTTTTTGAAATGCTAATAAGCGAAGGCGTAAAGTATGGCTACCATGTCAACAGTGGGAAATCTTGGTTAGTAATTAAAGATCCGTGTGATATAGAGAGAGCCACTGAATTATTTAAAAGTCACGACATCAAGATTACATCCGATGGTCATAGATTACTGGGAGCTGTCATTGGATCTACTTGTTTCAGAGAGGAATATGTTAATAGCAAAGTCTCTACTTGGTGTACTGAGCTCGAAAATCTATGCTCTATAGCGAAGTCGCAGCCACATCCCGCATACGCTGCTTTTGTGCATGGTTATAAGCACAAGTTTACTTTTTACATCAGGACTATTCCAAACGTGGCCCATTTGTTCCAACCTGTAGAAGAAATTATTTGTTCGAAATTTCTACCAACTATATTTGGCCAGGATATTTCTCAACTTGATCGGGAAATTTATGCTCTACCCATACGTAATGGAGGACTGGGAATACCACGTATCCCAGAAGATGCTGATTTCGAGCGAAATACGTCAAAACTGTTATGTGCTCCACTATCTGCTTTGATCATCATTCAAGCATGTAATCAACTTCCACAAGACGTCGCAATAGCCAACGTAAAGTCCCAAGTTCGAAGTCTTCGGGTGGAAAGAGCAACTACCTCCTCATTATCGGTTGATATTCAACTTTCCCAAGAGCAGCATCGAACAATCTCTTTAGCCCGAAATAAAGGTGCCTCTGGATGGTTAAATGTCTTACCACTGCAAGAAGAAGGCTTCTGTCTGAATAAAGAAGAATTCAGAGACGCTTTGGCGCTGAGATATAACAAATATATCCCAGATCTCCCAAGCATATGTCCCTGTGGAAAACCTTTCGATCCTTACCACGCGATGGAGTGTAAAAAAGGTGGCTTTATACACGCGTGCCACGACCAAATGAGAAATCTGGAAGCTGCTCTCCTTTCTGAAGTCTGCAATGATGTTTCTATCGAGCCACCTTTACAACCGGTGACAGGAGAAGAATTTGCCTTGAGATCAACAAACACAGAAGATGAATCACGACTTGATGTGAAAGCTAAGGGTTTCTATAGACATGGCCAAAGTGCATTTTTTGACATAAGAGTAGCACATCTTAACGCCGCGTCCTATAAGTTACTACCAACCCACAAGATCCTCTCACGCCATGAGAATGAGAAGAAAAGAGAATATAATCGAAGAGTAATTGAAATTGAGCAAGCAGTTTTTACACCATTGGTCTTTGGCACAAATGGTGCGATGGGTAAAGAATGTGCGAGATTTCACAAGATTCTTGCTACAAAGCTGGCAGCCAAATTTGGCAAACCATACTCAATAACTATGTCTTGGCTACGTACGAAACTCTCTTTTTGTCTGCTGAGATCTTCCCTTCTATGTTTGAGGGGCACTAGAGTTCCTTTTTATATGAATAACACTAGTTTGTTTGACACTTTGTACTAACTTGAACCTTTTTAAACGAATTGCTTTAATGGATTTTATATATTTTTAATGTATCTAGCTATGCTCAATCTATGAATAAATCTAAAAATTTTATATTTGTGTAAAAATAACTCACAAAAAGTGTCTTCTAATTTATCGATAACAACCAAATTAGTCAGTCTAGACCACTGTTTCGCCAAAGAAATAGTACGATACATGTCTGCGCTAGTTGCATTCATGACGTTTATGACACTGGTGTTGGACTTTTTCCAGTACATTATATCTCCAAAAATGGCCAATGCTTGGATCTTTGTTTCAGCTTCCAGAACGGTTTTATAATTGCGACCGTCATAATCCACTGATATAATGATGTTTTTCCCATAACCTTTCCGATGGAGGAAAACTTGCTTCTTGAGATAATCAATTGTAATCCAAAAGAAATCAATATCTATTTTAAATTCTTTTTTATCTTTTCCATCAAAATTGATTCGTGACAAGGTGTATCGACTGCTATAGAACAGGTATCTATTTAATAAAAAAATGTTTAATTAACTTTTTAATTACGTGGTGAAAGGCGCTTAAAGGGTTTAAAAAGGAAACGGCATTGTCTTTCTAAAAGTACATCCTGATTCTTTTTTCCGCTATCCACTTCTATCCGCTACCACTTCCGCTAATAATTATTAGGGAGCTTTAGATTTGACTACGAGTACGACTACGAGTACGAGATTCGTCAAGCTAAACGTATGCTGTATGCTTACGCCATCCCGTACTGACGCGAAAAAGTCGTAGCCGTCGCCCATCTGAGTACGAAATTGTGGAGAAACCTCGTAGTCCTCACGACGACTTTTCAAAAAAACAAAGAAAGTTGGCTTTTTTTTTGTTTTCCAAAAATAATTTGTAGCATTTATATAGCGTTTATCCGGCGCAAATAATATATTAGTACTAAATATCTGGCCTGTTTTTAATGTTATGATTTATTTACACGTTTTGTAGGGGATTTTAGTCTGCAGGAGATTTAGTTTATGAAACTTTTTCTCTCCGTTGTTGGTTTACTGTTATAAAAGCAACATTTGAATGGAAACGAAAACGACTATGTAATTTCCTCGCACGCGATCAAATCTCGTACTCGTAGTCGTACTCGTAGTCAAATCTAAAGCTCCCTATTACCGCAATCCGCGCTACTTCATCCGCCCAATTACAGGCAACACTTACATGCAGGTTGTTTGTTAATGTGGTTGGTCCTGGCTCCGTGTGCTCCGGCGCGCTTAAAATTCAATATGGCTGCCAAGTATCAGCCAAGCTTATCATTTTTTTACTAATTAGCTACATGCAGGGGCGGATCCAGACCGATGCCAACGATGCGAATGCATCGGTCAAAATTGAGAAATCATGTTGCTTGAAATAATATGTCGTCAATACTTAGTCAAGCACTCAGTAATAGAATATCTTTGAATCTCTCCAGCTATCAAACCGCAACTATTTGCTTAAACTTGACTCCAGGTCAGGAATACACTATTTAGGATGAAATCCAATTTAAATAGTCTCAATAACAGTCGAAATTGTCAAAATAAGTCCAATATGCGACGTGCGATCGCAAAAGTATTTTCTGTTGTTTACTTTTTATTTTGCGACACTTAAGCGTGAATAATTTCGCGACAAAATATATTATTTTTTACCGCATCCTTTGACGTCACAGTAGAAAGCTGATGCATCACCTACGTCACGGTAGATTTTGTTTGCATCGATTTTCAGCCATTTTGCATCAGTGAATGCATCGGTCCCGAGTCCTTTTCCGCGTAAAATCTACTGTGACATCATCAAATCTATTGTTTTAGAGCCCTACGTCACGGTAGATTAGTCCGCTGAGCGATGCATCGCATGCAGATTGCGGGCTCTCGCATCAGTTCACTGATGCAAATTTCAAAATCAAAATCTACTGTGACGTAACGAGGCATTCGATTCAAGACATTCAAGTCAGCCAGGCAAGGATATGCAAACACTATATGCAAATGAACAAAATTCAACAAATAATGCGAAGAAATATCCCTCGAATATGATGGAGAGCAATTAAGTTACAGTCGAATTAATTACCGAGGTTTGGAATGAATTTGATCTTTCAACTGAGCAGTGAGCACAAGAATTGAAGTATATTTATACTGTGAGAATGTGAGATGCCCACTACGGCCACTAGGGCTCTAAAGTAAGTGGAATTTATGTATATTTTACATTGTAGTACATTGTTAATTGTTCAGTTCAATGTAGATTTGTATGTATTAACATAATAACTCAAGTTTGTGTCTATTTGATACTGCTGTTCATACCAGGAAGGGGGGGAGGGGGTTGGGGTTGTGGGGGGGGGGATGAGGTAGTTTGACATTTTAGACATTTTACAGTCTTTACAGAGATTTGTTTGTCTGGAGGCAAACCAGCCCCATTACCAAACTTGACAGCTTGCTTTATTGAGGCAAATTTCATCTCTGTTTACATGGGATTTATATAACCTGTGCCCATGCAGACCTTCATTTTTCTCATAGCTGGCAGGCAAAGAAAAATGAAGACCTGATAAAGTCACATGTTATTAAATGTTTGTGTCCTACAACTGCTTTTATGGTTGTAACTCTGATTGCCGACTACTTCTAGCATTGCCATATTTAATGTATTTTTTTGATATTTTGGTTAGTGCTATATATAATTAAATAATGATAGATTAAATAGTGATTGTAACTATATTTAGCTTGTTGTTAAATTATGTGAA